ATGAAAGCAATTTATTTTGATTTTCTTTCACTGGTAAACCAGAGCTCTAAGCCCCACTTTGAGCCTCATATTGACCTCATAGAGAGGTGTAACATAATCAGCACTTGGTAACTAAGAATACACGGGAAGCTTTGTGACGCTGTATTTAAACACAGTGGTGCTTCGAGCTACAAGCCTGCTCACAGCAGCAATGCTGAAATGCTGATCTTTATCAGGTTTTATATTAAAGGGCCAGTGTGTAAAATAGGTTGAAAACAGTGACATCAGTGGTCAAATTCTAGATTGCAGGGCTCACTCGCTCACCCCTCCCGTAGGGTAAATGACGGAGGCCTCGTAGGGACAAAAAGCCTTGCGCAAGAATTTTTCAGGAGTAGGTCTATCTAGCGACGAGGTGAATGTTTATTTAGAAATCTAAACCATGTTACGATATTGTAATGAATCCCTCACGAGCAGGAGACCAGAGAAGAGTTCGGGAAAAAGGCCCGTTTATTTGAGCACTCCAGAAACTCCAGTAACACTCCACTCCGTTCCAAACTCTGACTCTTCTAGCGTAACAGACACACGTCATAACTTTACACACATACTCGTTTACCATACTAAGTGGGGACCCCCCTCCCCTCTCTGCTCCGCCAATCTCCAGCCCACACACTGACTGACAGCGTAGCCGGTAAACAGAGCTCAGCTGTTTATTTAGCCTAGCAATATCTCCGGACTATAGTAGCTACAATGGACGACTTTGAACGCGATTTTGAAGAGTTTCTTGTAGCGGACACAGACCCAGAGCCATACCTGTTTGAGCCGGAGCAAACAGATGAGGAACTCCATGTGTTTGATGCTGAGCGGGTGAGAAGAGAGGCTGAATGCACAGAATGGGATTCGGTGCTACTGCTACCATTGTTGGGGAGATATATCATCAGGAGGAAAAGCGCCGCAGAGAGTGCATCACAAGGAGTGAAATTACGTCTTCTTTTCCTTGCAGATGACGGTTCGGGTTCATTCTCTCCTGTTGCGTGGTAAGTGTGGTCCATTCGCAAACTTTATAACTAAAAAAACTTTTCACTACTCTCTATTGACGAACTACTAACACTCTCTGCTGTTTCCTCCTCCTTCTTGAGTTTGATCTGATGATAGAGGAAAAGTTAAAGAGTTACTAAGTAACTACAGTTGGAATTCAAAAATTGGTTTAGGCCTAACCCATGTAACCATGAGCCAGTAATTCATGTACAACCCACGTTATCGGAAATGCTGCAATCACATGACCAATGTGCTGATGGGGGTAAAGAAAGAAGTAGTATAAAGAGTGAAAGTCCACAGAAGGAGGCTAGTTAGGGTGGTGGATGGGTCAAACAAAACAGGACTTTCACAGGAGACTGGTGTTAGTAGCGAACTTTGAGCTATTTTAAGGTACGTCTCCACCATTTTTCTTTTCCTAAACCAAACCTACATAACTTTGCTTGAAGTATGTAATGTCACAACACCCAACCATGTTTCTTTTCCTTAAGCAAGCCTGTGTAACTTTAGTTGCCTTAACGTGACATAGGTAACTTTCTGTTAACTACACAACATGATGAGGCCATTTATGAGTGGCTAATGTGATGGTACGTGTATTTTCGCAAGATATCTTACAAACCATTGTGTGAGGATACTTTGATTTAATAGTTGTTGAGACATCTCACTCAAAACTTCAAATGTGAACCTTATGGTGGCACTAAAGGAAAAGTGAGAGAATCACCAAAGTCATTTGCATTCATCATCTGAAGGTAATGAATGTCATCAAAATAGTGAAAACTTGATGGTGCTAAATGAAAAGACAGAGGACCAACAAAATCATCCCATGTCTGTTTGACATATAATGGTAATCCTTACCATGGTTGTTGAGATCTTTCAGTGTTGGATAAACTAACCAACACTGCCATCCCTAGAGCCACATGAGTGCCGCTAAAAAAACACAGACGAAGCAACTAAAAGACCTGTTCCTTCCACACATAAGTTAACAGAGGAAGCTGGCTGTCAACAGACTCAAATAGTTTTCCTTCAAAGACATGAGGTAAACTGTATTTCAGTGTTGTTGCATCACTAACTTGCTGAGTTGCTGAAGTTTTTAAAATTTCAAAAACATGGAGTAAACAACAACAAAGGTTTAGTCAGCAATGTTTCCTCAGAAAACGGCATGCTGAAATTCTCAGAAATAGCTGGTATTTGTCTTTTTTTCCAAATTAAAAATCCTTGAAATGAATGAATGAATACTGCCTGTATGGCTGTGCAACATGAGCCCTGATAAAACTTTAATGATCTTAGGTAAGACCAGCACTATGTTGCCTTTTCTTCACATACTGCAGGGTCACTATGGACAGCACTTGCATTCACAAAGACCTGAGACTATGTATGAGAGACAGATATACAGTGTCACTATTTCTTTAGGACTTGTTTGGTGACACTCACAGGCAGCCTGCACAGATGATCAAGTCCCTCAAGTCCCTGCTGCAGCAACAAACCAGACATGACGCCAGATACAGTGAAACAAGTGAAGAAGACAAACAAAAAGACATCAAGAGAGTCCATCCTTCTCTGGGAACCCAGCTAATAACACTTCCCTCTGTGCCCACTGTGTCAGGCCTCTCCGGCACATATTCATTATTCAGAGGGTGTTCCTCTCCATCTATACCACCGCTCTACCCTCTCCAGTCATCCCCACCATAGATTCATAATTTATCAGCCATACCTATAAATGTTTAATTGTTTTTAGAACTCCCGTTGGGGATGTATAATTCAATGATTTGTGCACCAAAAGAAAGCTTTTTCTATGAAAGTAAAATTACAGAAGATCCCCTTAAAAGGGCTTGGACAAATCTCTTCATGATATTATGTAACACAAAACCGTCCTGGAGATCTAGCCCCTTCTTATGATTGTCTGGGTGTTGGACAGATGCAGAGAAGGAAGACTGATTCTTTTATTCCGCCCCGCTCTGCCTGTCTGTCTGTCTGTCTGTTTGTCTGTGATACCCGTGCAGAGCTGCGACACAGTGACCTTCAGAAGAATAAAGAGCCAAACTAAACTTTCAAACAAAAAGTGCGCATGGTCCAACATTAACATTCACAAGTAGAAATATAGAAATGCACTACATAGACTATTATGTCTTGATGTTGGATTATTGTACTGTATGACCTTGCACATGTGCAATGAGATATTTGTATGGAAATATAACAAAATAACAAAAATATAACACAGCTCTGTGTGCAAGTTTCAGAAAGTCTGTTATTCGTGACACCTCTCTTTAAGGCTGTTATGTGAATTGCAGTCAGTATTCTGTAGCTCACACTCACACTCCATAGGCGCATGCTAGTGCCTGTGGGCATTAACCAGAAAACATTGACGTGACACACACAAGGCCAAACACTGACTAGCAACATGTAGATAGGGTGCTGGAAAATAAATTACAATCTGCAGCAGGTTGTAGCAGCTGGAATTCAGCCAGCGCAAACCACAGCATAAAGTAAAGGTCCGTCTACAAGCAGCTGCTGCAAAATGTATATCACGGAAACACCATGACTCTGTTGTGGTGGGTGCCAATCCTTTGTTGATGTTGGCAGACTCCTTTTCTTAGCTACTGTTGCACACAGTCCCCCAGGAAAGCTGCTCAGCCTCACTTTCAAGATTTCCCGGTGGCCACTCACGGTATTGCAGCAAAAATATCCCCAGTGGCCCAAAAAGCATTTTCCCCATAGACCACCACTATGAAAGAGATGTCTGTAAAACTGTTGACAGGACACCTCGGACCTCAAACAAGGATCAGTTATGACTCTTTCTATGTATTGTGAATTTTTTTATTTCGTGCTGGTGATATATTTATAAAGCTTTGCTCCAAAAACTATGACATCATCACAATGTAGTAAACCCAGGAGTTAGAAACCTTTAATGGTGTGGCACGCAATCCCATTGAACTGCATAGGTGCCATCTTGGCATCTGGAATCGGCAGCTGTTATACGTCTATGGCTGCACACTGTTAGCGCTGTACAGAGCTGGAAGGAGGCTTGGTACTCATGAGCGTGCATAAATGTCAAATCCTTTGCATCTTCCCATTAAATTCATCCTTTACACAGGAATTAGTGAACTGGCTTTTATAGGCAATGAAGGAGGTCAGGGAAGCTCACAGTTTGTAAGTGACGTTATAATCCCTTCACCCAGCGGCAATACAAAACATTAATACATGTAAAAGTTACATACTGAGCCTTTAAATATGCAAAAGCAGGCCAGTGAGTCACCTCAGTATTGGCAGGTTTGGTTTAGTGTTGCTGGCAGTCCCAGTAGATCTAATGTGATCAATAGACCATAAATAATAATTTGTTGCCCTATTAAAGCAAGACTAAAAATGTCTTTGCCACTGTCTGCTGACTCAGGACCCTGCATAAACTTGGCCCAAACAACTGTGCACTTGGCTTTGTAAAGATGCATGTCCCCAGTAATGGTCTGACACACCCCGAGCCTTGGTACTGTGCCTCTTTAGTGAACTGTACAGCCCATAAAAGAGGCAGTTCATAGGCTGAATTAATAGTTTGCAAAAGTTTATTGGCAGGCTGTACCACTGAGAGGCATTTAAAAGTAATTTATGAGGCATTTATCAGAGCTGTTTGCGGGACAATGAAGCCATCTGACTGTAAAAAAGTCTTGTCACATTTCAGATAATGTCCTTCTTTTTGTTTGTGTTAATGAGAAAGTCAATGTCACACAGACACGAATCCAAGCATGCCAGTTTACCACCATTTAAATATATATATGTATATATATGTATATGTATATATATATACATATATATAAAATGGGTTTGGTATTTTTGACAAAACTTTGATGCTCATTATCCCAAACCCAAACTTCAGAGTTAAAAATTAATTTTAAAATTGTTTTGGTTTGTGACATTTCCTGACCCACAGATTAATATTTAACCTGGAACATGCCCTTTCTGCCTGTTTGGCATGTTGCACGTTCAGCTGTGAGTGGCATGATCGCCACTGCTGCATGCATGTGACAAGGAAAGAGTGCTGTGACATTGCTCTGAGGTTATAAAACCACACCAAGCCTGGAGAGCTGGCCTGCAGCATGATGGCTTCACTTTGACCACGACAGGTATGGTAGAAATATGGTTTTTACATACAATATAATGTGTGTAAAGTGTAAATTGTATTGTGAATTTTATCGTGATTCACCTTGGCTTGTATTGTGAGCTTTTGGAGTCATGATCTAGATTTGGGTCCAGACCTCTTTCAGTCCAATCACACATGAGGTGGGTAATCTCCATAATTAGATTGCTTGAAAATCCCTTTTAAACAGGTTCTTATGCAGTCTATAAAGCTGCATTATTATTACTATTATTATTATTATTATTATTATATGTGTATTTTTCATCAATGGAAAAATGAATTGAGCTAAATCCTGTCATGCATGGTAAATCTAATCTGCTTCCACTGACTGTGGTCCAAAGAGATGACAAACAGCTTACCAATTTGTATTTCTAATATTTCCTTCTCTTGATAGATCACTGTTGTGAAAATTTCTTAGAGACTACTCAAGATGTCCAAGGATGGCATTCTGTTATAATCAGTCTGCTTCAATAAAGATGTTGTCCAGATGATTTTATGGTGCTCATAAAAAAGACACTGTCATGAAAAGATGAATCCAACCCCTTTGAACTTTGATACTGTGGTCACATGTGCAGTCTTGCTGGAGGGAGAGCTGCTGTAAATCCTCAGAGAATGAGGGTGTGCTAAGATATACAGTACAGGCCAAAAGTTTGGACACACCTTCTCATTCAATGCGTTTTCTTTATTTTCATGACTATTTACATTGTAGATTCTCACTGAAGGCATCAAAACTATGAATGAACACATGTGGAGTTATGTACTTAACAAAAAAAGGTGAAATAACTGAAAACATGTTTTATATTCTAGTTTCTTCAAAATAGCCACCCTTTGCTCTGATTACTGCTTTGCACACTCTTGGCATTCTCTCCATGAGCTTCAAGAGGTAGTCACCTGAAATGGTTTCCACTTCACAGGTGTGCCTTATCAGGGATAATTAGTGGAATTTCTTGCTTTATCAATGGGGTTGGGACCATCAGTTGTGTTGTGCAGAAGTCAGGTTAATACACAGCCAACAGCCCTATTGGACAACTGTTAAAATTCATATTATGGCAAGAACCAATCAGCTAACTAAAGAAAAACGAGTGGCCATCATTACTTTAAGAAATGAAGGTCAGTCAGTCCGGAAAATTGCAAAAACTTTAAAAGTGTCCCCAAGTGGAGTCGCAAAAACCATCAAGCGCTACAACGAAACTGGCACACATGAGGACCGACCCAGGAAAGGAAGACCAAGAGTCACCTCTGCTTCTGAGGATAAGTTCATCCGAGTCACCAGCCTCAGAAATCGCAAGTTAACAGCAGCTCAGATCAGAGACCAGATGAATGCCACACAGAGTTCTAGCAGCAGACCCATCTCTAGAACAACTGTTAAGAGGAGACTGCGCAAATCAGGCCTTCATGGTCAAATAGCTGCTAGGAAACCACTGCTAAGGAGAGGCAACAAGCAGAAGAGATTTGTTTGGGCCAAGAAACACACACAAGTGCTTTGGTCTGATGAGTCCAAATTTGAGATCTTTGGTTCCAACCGCCGTGTCTTTGTGAGATGCAGAAAAGGTGAACAGATGGATTCCACATGCCTGGTTCCCACTGTGAAGCATGGAGGAGGAGGTGTGATGGTGTGGGGGTGTTTTGCTGGTGACACTGTTGGGGATTTATTCAAAATTGAAGGCACACTGAACCAGCATGGCTACCACAGCATCCTGCAGCGACATGCCATCCCATCTGGTTTGCGTTTAGTTGGACGATCATTTATTTTTCAACAGGACAATGACCCCAAACACACTTCCAGGCTGTGTAAGGGCTATTTGACCAAGAAGGAGAGTGATGGAGTGATGCGGCAGATGACCTGGCCTCCACAGTCACTGGACCTGAACCCAATCCAGATGGTTTGGGGTGAGCTGGACCGCAGAGTGAAGGCAAAGGGGCCAACAAGTGCTAAACACCTCTGGGAACTCCTTCAAGACTGTTGGAAAACCATTTCAGGTGACTACCTCTTGAAGCTCATGGAGAGAATGCCAAGAGTGTGCAAAGCAGTAATCAGAGCAAAGGGTGGCTATTTTGAAGAAACTAGAATATAAAACATGTTTTCAGTTATTTCACCTTTTTTTGTTAAGTACATAACTCCATATGTGTTCATTCATAGTTTTGATGCCTTCAGTGAGAATCTACAATGTAAATAGTCATGAAAATAAAGAAAACGCATTGAATGAGAAGGTGTGTCCAAACTTTTGGCCTGTACTGTACATTGTTAAAGGAAAGTCTTCTCAATGTATGTGTTCCTTATGAATGAAGTTACATCACCATCGTCAAACAAAAACAAGACATGCCTACACTATATGCAGTGTAATGATTAGTCAGTATGTTTATTACTGTGGTTATGTTTTGCTCTAGTTGGATGAGTTCCAACTGTGACTGGATTATAAAAATACATGTTACATCAGACTTACATGACCTTTGGTCACCTGAGGAGGAAAAGGGAGGAAAACAGTTAGAAAACCTGAGACTGAGTAATAAATGTACTGATTATTATTATTTGTGTCCATGCAGGCTACTCTGTATTATTGTTTCAGTGAGTCTGGGAGCTTTTTCTGTTTTGGAAAAGATGAAAATGTTTACTGTTTTTGTAATCAGCAAGAGCAAGTCTAACTGAAACCACCCTACAATATAAGATAAAAAATCCTCTCTATTAAAAATTACTGTGTTACATTTTACAAAGGGTGGTATTTGTTGCATTAACATGTCAGTGTTTATACTAGTGGAACAACATCATGCTGTCCCCAGTAGTGAACTGCACCATAGAACCCTCATGTCGAAACAAACAATGAATTCCTTTTCTATATTTGCACTGTGTGCGTATAACTGATCATAAATTATAAATGTACAATTTTCTCAGTTTTCCCTTACAAGAATTTTTTGAAAAATATCTCTGCACACCTGAATGTGTGACAGGTGCGTCGGAGGAGGTGCAATCTGGAAGACAAAGAACTCCCGCACACTGTCTCACTTAGTGCTGAAATATTTATTTGATTACACCTGATGAAGGTCTGACAGATGGAAACGTTGTTACCATAATCAGATAAATATTTCAGCAGTGGGCGAGACAGTGTGTTGAGTTCTTCTCTTTGTTTTTAAGGCTTGCAAGAATTTACCTGACAAGAGGACAAAACACAGACCATTAGTACCATAATGGCTGATAATACATAAAAAGAGCTAGACAGCGACAAGTGTAACAAGCATTGTTAGGCTAGATACATTACATAACCTGCTACTTTAACAGCAGAATAAAACATCACCATGGCAACCAACATAGAAATGTATAGACAATCTCAACCACAGCTACAGACCACAAACACAGACCTGTCTGTCTGAATGGCATTCTCACAGATTTTTGTACTGTAAAGTCCTCCTCAATCTGCTTTAGGTATAACTAACTAACTAACTAACTAGGTATCCCAATGTGCTCTTCAAATTCAAAAAGGTTTAGCGTGATAGCTTGGCAGTCACAAACTTGATAGGAATTATCATAAAGAAGCAAAGAGGCCCTGCTGATTGTAAAGGTTTCTCAGTGAAGAAGTAGCAGAAATAGTAGAAGTCACTGCTGGAAGATCAACCAGGAGCATTTTAGCATTTAGCCAGAGCTGTTGGTCATGCAGCATTATGGGAGTTTTGATTTGGGTCACTTAGCCTGGGGTGGTGCATTAAATGCATGATCAGTGTAGATGAAACCATTGTTGTTGTTATTGTTTTTGCTTATGCCCAGGTACAATATCACAGGAATCAAACGAAAATGGACAGTCACCCAGGAGACCACAGTTTGTGTCCTGTGTCAGACCAAAAGTGTGTCATGTATCAGTTCAAGGAAGACCCAAATGCAGACTGTCAGGCAGGCTGAAGTTATAACTAAAAGCGAGTTTTGATACAGCAGATAAAAAACATCCAGATAAAGCAGGTAACTGAAAGTACAAATGAAAGCAGAACAAAAACTAAACTGAAAACCACAGCTGGAGTAGAAGGACATGGGTAACAGAAGGGAAATGTTGATTGGCTAACAACAAGGGTGTGGATGGGAACACTAGGGTGGAGCAAACAAGACTAATACAGAACAGGTGTGAAGGGAAGACTCTGGGAACAGGGAAGGACTAATGAGACAGGTGGGAAAATACACAAAGTCAGAAAAGTAAAACCAGACACAACACATGAGGAGAGAATCTACAAAATAAAACAGGAAGCAGATATAGGAATAGCCTATAGGATAGCAGAACATCAACACATCCCAGGATCATGACACAGTGTTGTTTTAACTTAACAATACTCAAATTTATCAGTGGTCATCACACACTGATGTCACTCATGTTATGCATTCACCTCATCTGACATTTGTTAATAAATGTAAATTTAACTCAAAACATCTTTTTCCTGAACCTAACCAAGCAGTTTTGTTGCCTAAACCTATCAGCAACCATTGCACAGCATTAACCATGTGTTACATTGTGTTTCAGCTGTGTGTCATATAGATTCACTAAAGAGTACCCTGTGCATCATAATGAGATGCTGAGGGGCATGACAAAGTATCTGTATATGACGACCTGGGGATGAAAACAGGTTGCCACACCAGCAGCTCTTTCTCTACTTCAGCTGCTGATTTCATTCCCACACAGTTTATCAGGACTGAATCTGAATCTTTTGTTCTCACTCTGTAATATGTGCGTCTTGACATGTAGCAAAAAAAAAAAAAAGGAAAAGGTACACAAAACACTTTGTTACAGTAAGTAGAGTGCTGTAAATGTAAAATCCTGGTGTTTTTGTTTACCTAGATTTTTCCTATCAGATGAACATGGACTCCCCAGTGAAAGCTCAGAAGACGAGGGTAGCAGTGGCACCACAAGCAGCCCCTGATGGTGGCTACGCCTGGTTCATCCTGCTCTGCGGCTTCCTGGTCTTTGGCCTTACCTTTGGGGTCATTAAGTCCTTTGGTGTATTCTATGTTGAGATACACCAATACTTTGAAACTACAGCAACAGAAACATCTTGGATTACCTCTATTGCTTTGGCTACCATTCACTTTGCGGGTAATTATCACAGTGTTTTTCTAATATGTATTTAAAATCTCTGTGCTCATAACAAAAAGAATGAAGGACATCAGTATATGTTTTATAGCCCTCAATGTCAACAACATTTCCTAAACTTTAAAATTCGTATCATTGAAAATCTTTCCACTCTTTTTGACCTTGATGTTGAATCTTTGAAATGACTCTGCAAAACAGACTTCTTGAGGTTCTGACCACCAGGTGGCTCTCCTACATCTTAAAAGACTCTTCAAGCAGCTCCAAGTCCTTTCTTGTGTTGAATGAATACTACCTTAGTCACACACAAAACTAACAGGAAGATGCAATAAGATTGCTTTTTGTGCAAATGTGTGTGTGGGTAAATTGAATTATTATCTGCTGCAAATATAGGCCTGTCCAGGCAGCACAAGGTACCATGATTAACTTAAAAATTCTGAAACATCTTAAATCTTCTGTGGTTTAACTTAAATTAATAATAATAAAGGATTATATTCCAATTAATCATTTTCATTTAGACATACTGAAAGTAAATAGGACATTTTGCCTGCTGTGAGGTGCATAATAATTCAGTATACTGCTACACTGTTGATCCAAATACACTTACTGTTTATCCTATATGAATTTTCTGTGTGTCCCCCTGCAGCTCCTTTATCATCTGCTCTGAGTGCTCACTACAGCCATCGCTCTGTAGTGATAATGGGAGGACTGATATGCAGCATAGGAGTCATGTTTGGGGCTTTTGCTCGTAACCTAATCGAACTCTATTTAACAGTGGGGTTCCTAAACGGTGAGTGGTTTGAAGCAAACACACACACATACAACACAAGCTCAAAACAGACAAAACATGATATTCACTGGAATACTTTGCTGCAGGTTTGGGCTACACAATGACATGGACCCCGTCGATGACCATGCTGGGATTGTACTTTGAGAAGAGGCGTCCGATAGCAAACGCCTTGGCCAGTTCTGGAGAATGCATCCTTTCTTTTGTCCTCACACCTCTGTTCCAGCTGTTGATTGACAGCTACTCATGGAGGGGCGCTTTGCTAATCCTGGGAGGTCTGCAGCTTAACCTCAGTGTGTGTGGGATGCTGTTGAGGTCCCTAAAAATCACCAGAGACATAACTTGTGAGGTCAGAGCACAGGAAGAAGGCTTGTCCCTGGAACTGCTACCAAAAGACAGCGTGGAGCAGAGCAAACCAAGCTGCCTAGAGGAGCCAGGAGTATCTGAGGGGTTAGAAAAGGAGACAATTAGGGCATCTCTTGAGGACCTGAAAAAGATACCTGATTTAACCATGAAAGTACAAGACTCAAACAGCAAAACTAGGATGGCTAAACTAAGCACCAAAATCCTTCGCTACGTAGATTATACACTCATCACTAATGCTCGATTCATGGTCTACTCAATGTTTGGGGTGTTTGCTGCACTGGGTTTCTTTGCCCCAGCTCTGTTTCTGGTTCCATATGCTCGTAGTAGGGGGATTGAGGAGTACCAGGCGGCTGCCCTCGTGTCCATCTCTGCAGTACTGGACCTGTTTGGAAGAGTGTTCTTTGGCTGGGTGGCAAACTTGAGACTGGTTGAAACGGTATGTTAAGTTCAGTGGGTAACCAAAGGAAAAACATTTTGAAAATCACTTATCTGAGGGTAAAGGTATGGCCAAGCTTTGGTATCTACATCATCTAGTATAGCACATGTGATTATATTAATAGAAAGGTTTGACATTTTGGGACAGGAGATTTGTTGCTTTCTTGCCAAAAGTTAGATAAGAAGATTGATACCACTATGATGTTATAACAGTAAATATTAGGGTACAGCCAGTGGCCAATTAGCTTAGCTTAGCTTAGCTTAGCTTAGCGTAAAGACTAGAAGCAGGGGGAAACAGTTAGCATGGCTCTGAACAAAGGTAAGATAGATAAAAATCCATCTTCCAGCTCACTAATAAATATCCTTTACCTTGTTTGTTAGATATCCCTAGCCTGGAACAAGATGACAAAACGGGAGCGTATCTATGTTTCCCGGGTTCTGTGTTTCCCGGGTTCTGTTTTCCCCACTTAACCCTGCAAAAAAGTTTCTATGTTCCCCGCTTATACAAAAAAGGTTCTGTGTTTCCCGGGTTCTATGTTCCCCGCTCAACCAAGCGGGAAACATAGAACCCTTTTTGGTTGAACTCCAGGACTCCAAGATAGAATCCAACACATATGCAGTAGGTATTTTTTTTACCTTAAAGCAACTCTTACCTTTCTTGCATTTCACACAGCACTTTGAAAAAATTTGAACATCCACAACTCCCGCCTCCCTCCAAAGTCCCATCCTCCTCCTCCTGCAACTCCACCTCCCTCCATTACGTCCTCATTATAGACGTAGCCGTAGGTAAGGTAACGTTAGATACACAGAAAAGGAGAGCGAGTGTAATGTTACAACAAAGACAGTCAAATGCAACCCCGGAGTTTTAAAACTCAACCGGAGTCAGTGATGACTGATGAGTTTTAGAATAAGAATACAGTGCTAACGTTAGATAGTAGCGTTAACGTTACTAGTAAGTGGAAACACACAAGGAAGATAACGTTTATGTTTCAGAGGCTACGCTAGAGTAGGCTAACGTTAGCCATTAGCAACTGGATGCTGTGTTGTCATAATGTTATGAACTGAACCAGCACAAAAACGAAATGACATTTTGCATACCCCAAGCAACCAGAAACAAAACATATTTGTGCAACATATAAGAAAGAACATATAGTGCAATAGTAAGATGAAAAGGATCGACATTTCACAGTCAAAAACTCCACATCATGAGAGCAGAACTGGGAGATCCTCTTCACATCACAGCACCATGAATTGATTGTGTATACACCACGGAGCTTACCAGATGATGCTACCGTCCTGTCTGCTCTGTGTAGTGTTAGCCTCCTTAGCTCAACACCGGCGTCTTATATGTCACCATTCATCCATGTCTCAGTGAACACAGGGACGCAGCAGTCCCTCATTCCTTGGTGAGTGGATCTTCATAGTCGGATGTAATCCATTTTCGTGTCCAGTGAGCGGACATTCGCCAGAAGGACACTGGTTAGCTGGTTAGCTCTTAGCCTAGCTAACCCTCTGCGCTTCCCCCACTCCCGCGTCCTGTCACAGCACTGCCGGCGTCTCCCCGTCGGGACAGCTCCAGGTGAAACCACGGTCATCTCAGGGCTAGCTCGACGTAGCAGGCCAAGCTTGCTACACATCCTGAACTCTCTTGGTTGTAGCGTTAGATCTCTGCAGCAGTTTCTAATGTCTGTTAGAAATTTGCGACTGTATTGCACTGATGAATTTACTTCTTGTTGCATAGTTTCGTTCTTTTGCCAACTGATTTCCCTGTTGGAGCGGCTGGAGGTGGAAGCGGTGGTCCGCATTTGTTTGCTTTTGTTACGGAGAAAAGTTTATATCCACAAGCATCCCTGTTACTAGCTTATATCCACAAGCGTCCCTGTTACTAACCTGTTTGTTGTCTCAGACTCGCGAGTGGTTACGTCAGTCGGAGGCCTCCACGTGGGGAAGACAGACAGGACAGGAGAAAACTCTGACCAATCATTGCATTCGGTCTGAATGCAATGATTGGTCAGAAGAGAAAGTGAAGAGAAAGTGAATGTGATTTTTGCATTGCGTTTTGGATTATGTCAGAAAATAAGCTCTGTGGCTAACACAAGTTTATGATACTTACAGGTTTTGTTCAGCGAGATAATCTTCACATATGAACACCTTTCATACCATATTTGAAGCTTAAATGCGATCGCCAGAAGTAAAAAGCTAACGTTAGGCTTTAACGGACTACATGACTACTCCACGTCGCATGACTCTTGACATCACCGCCACTAAGCTTTCAACTGATTTCGGCCGCTTTATTTTAAAAACATTGTATAATGGGGAACTCGGACTGTTTAAGCTAAATAAGAAGCTGTAATGGTGGACTGCCAGCACTCTCGCCTGTTCGGGGGTGATGACATTTAATGTCCCCGACAGAGTTTGTAGTCGTATTGAGCAACTTGTTAGCAACCGCCTTTTTTACGTCACGTAAAAGCTTCAAAATTCACAAGTAGGGTATTTACTGATGTGTTTTAATGTCGTAGAACAAAACCTGAAACTCGCTTAAGCTTTTGTTAACCACAGACCTTATTTGAGGCATTTTACCAAAATCCCATTCAAAAAACGTATTGACTTTTAGAAGAGAGAACCGGAAGTGCTAAAAGTGCTAACGGAGTTCCGGGTTTACTGGCACACTCTATTATGAGTTTTCATCTCTGGTGGAATTCACTTACATTTTAGTGTGCCATCAGCGTATTAATAGCATTTTAAACTAAACAAAGAAAAGTGTAAAATTTCCAGAAAGGTAAGTGTTGCTTTAAGAGAGAGCCAGGCTAGCAGTTTCCCCCTGCTTCCACTCTTTATGCTAAGCTAAGCTAACCAGCTGCTGGTTGTAGCTCCATATTTAGTGTTAGGACATGAATCAATCAATCAATCAATCTTATCATCCAACTCTTATCAAGAAAGCAAATAAGCATGTTTCACAAAACCATTATTGTGAAGAAGCAATAACCTGCCTACATGAAAAGTGCATGCAACTGCTGATGCGCACATCTGTCTCCTGTGTCTCTGTTCCCTCCAGGTGAAGCAGCTGACAGCTAGTGTGATTCTGCTGGGTACTGTGTTACTGCTCTGCCCGCTGGCCTCCTCGTTCCTAGAGCTGGCTGCTTTCAGCACAGCGTACGGCCTGGTGTATGGTGCTACGGTCGCCATCCACATCACCGTGCTGGCTGAGGTTGTGGGTGTCAGCAGGCTCGGAAGTGCACTGGGCTTCTTTATGCTCATACGCAGCAGCGGAGGCCTGTTTGGACCGCCCATCGCTGGTGAGTGAGGAAGAAGCTTTGATAGTTAACTGCAAGTACACAGTGTGCCGACTGTGCATATCAAAGAGAAATGGATTTCAGCTTTGTGTTGTTGCTGTAAAATTCCCAGTGATCCTTTTCACCATACTTACTGGCTGCCGGCTAGAAATAAACAAAACGCAGCACAGACTAGAATAGAATTGTACCTCGTTGTATGTTAACATTTTTGTTAGCTTTGAGGAAAACTCAAATCATTAAGTCAAGGTTACAGTGTCTGCCATTTCCCTGGGCCTTTTCTTCCGACACATTAAATCTCACACAATGGATGCGCTTATACACCATTCTGCATTGTAACACAGCCCAGTGAGCCTATTCAACCAAAATGAGATCTTTATACCTTCATGACATGCAGCACCACCCTTCAGTTAATCAGGAATTTTGTCATCCGGTCAATCCCACAGGACCTGAGGTTTTTATTCAGAGAGCAACTGTGCAACAATTATAATATCATGATACTTTATGGTTGTGTTAATTTCATGGCTGACTGCTTCTCAAAAATTATTTTTTCTCCTTTAAATGGAGTTTCTTCCCCACTGACTCCTTTCTGTTACTGGTGACAGTTGTCCAGATTCATACACTGTGTCCTACAGAATATGAGTACAGCTGTAACAGAGAAATGGCATAACAAAGGAGTCGATACAATCAAAAACATCTTTTAAATACCAAGTAGGATTTCATAGACTTATTCAGACCTTTGACTGGAGCAATAATCACTGCTTTGGCCACTTCAGAAACAAGCTGTAAACACCCCACAACTTGCTAGCAAACTGTTAGCTCATCCAGCAGACACAGAGCAACACTGGCATTCATTTGAAGTCTTTTTACTGGCAGCCTGGCAAATGCAAGTCCAACATTCACTCTCCTTTTAGCTCTGTTTTTGGTTTCTACCAAATCTCTGTCTGCTAAATACACTACTGTGTACACCAGCTAGTTGCTAACTTTTACTGTCTGCCTTTGGGTTTTGAGCATAGTATAATATATGTATAATGAGAATAGACATAACCACCGTGGCATCACCCAGTGATTTGTGAACTCCTGTTTTGTTTTTCGGAGCCATAAGTGACCATATTTGGACTACAGGGTGAAGCTGTGAAGGAGCGAGGGGTGGTTCTAACTCACAGACAGTGGTGATGCCGAGCAGACAGCCTGTCACTCAGAGCAGTCACACCCTTAATTATACATAGCCTTAGTCCTTAATAATATGTAAACGGGAGTTTTGTAAAAACCTCAACCCACAGAGTTGTCATGGATAGGGCAATAAGCTATAGAGACCAAAATGTTTTTGCACCATGCTGTAACATGTTTATTTCTGCTGTTAAGTTGGGCATTTTAACATGGGTGTCTAAGGGCATTGACTCACTTTTGGAGCCAGTCTCAAGTGGCCATTCACAGAACTGCAATTTTGGTACTGTATTTCACTGAAAACAGTTGGCTGATGTTAAAAACAACACAGATGAGAGCAGTGAGAGTGAACTAAAACAGTAAAGTTGTGGGCCATGAAACCAAAACAATAAGCTGAAAGATGCTAAAATGCTCAGGAGAGCTGAGGGCAACAAATTCAAGTGATAAGATACTGAATCCCAATTGCTTCCATCGGTGTGTGAGCATGTTAAAAACTGAGTAGCAGGTGTCACCTTGAATGGTAGCCTCTGCCACCAGTGTATGAATGTGTGTGTGTGAATGGGTGAACTGACTCGTAGTGTAAAAAGTGCTTTGAGTGGTCGGATGACTACAAAGGCGCTATACAAATGCAGGTCCATTTACCATAATTCTCCGTGGGTTCATTTCTTCGAGTGACCACATAGTCATGTGATCCAGTTATGGGAAGATATATGAAACATCCAGTAAACATGAACTATTATGAACATTTTCCTGATATGGTATTTTGCATATGTCACATTCTTCTTCTTTCAGTATAAAAATATTTATGCTTTTATGTACATTCCGTACTCTATGATTAGCAGAAAATTAATTATGGACAGCAACTCATTGCCTTATCCACCCCTCCAAAATTAGATTTAATTACATTTACAGATACTGTAGATTCGTGGCTGGAAAGCTTTTCAAATGCGTCAGATGCTTTAGCAATCTGTTTGCAATTATCTTCATTAATCTATTCTATTGTGAGAAATAAAAAAATACTTAGGCAGCTATTAAACTGAAATGCCCCTAGCGCTTGTTTTCCAGTCCTCTCTCTAACCAACACATACGGCAGCCCCACCACCACCCACAGCGCTGTCCTCCAAACAAGTAAGAATTTGAACCCGATTACTGAGGTTACCCTCATTTTCATACACACTCTAAACAATAGCACAATAGCAGTAAATAAAGCCTGAAAAACACCCAGCTTGACTTTGGCACCCAGGCACGACCACCCCTGCCAGAAAGTGTCCTGCCTCTGAGCACAGCCAGCAGTAAATCAGCTGGGGGAAAGCTCTCCAACAGAGTGTGTGTGGGGGGGGGGGGGGGGCACATAACTGTAGTTTGGATTAATTTGATGGAATTTATGGATTTTTAGGAAGGTTTTAAGTGTGGCAGTTTTCAGTGTGGCATACACAAAGAATGAGAGGGGTTTGAGTAATTGTGGCAGGCTGCTATTCTGTCGCTCTGCAGGATGTATGTGTAGAGGAACTTGTACTTTCCATTTTGCATAGAATATATTTTCAATTATGAAATAAACGTTTCCATTTTCATTGGCCTGGTGTATAAGGAACATGCTAGAAAACAAATGCAAATACTTGTCATTGCCCTGCTAAGTCCTTTAAACCTCAATTACTCATGTTCACTTTCATATCTCTATTAATCTCTGTTTAACAAGTTCCTGAAAACCTCTTAATTTGGATTAAAACAAAAGCCCCGCACATAAATGTTAAATTTAAGATTATGCTACAGGCTGAAACTGACCTCAAATAAAGTCGAAATAAAGAGCTAATTAAAGTGAAGGTGGTGTCCTACTTATAACTTAACATGGTCCCTCTGACACAGAGGCTATTTCTCACATATTTACTGTACCGTTCAGTAGTTTGAACACTTTGAAGACTAGAGACATGATGGATGTTGAGGATTCATCAAAGCGTTCTAATTATGTTTCCTTTACAGGACAAAGGCGCTTGCAGTACTGCCTTAGGATAAAATGAATCTTGGTGCAATCCTCCCTTCCTTATCTCTGCCTCAGCCTTAGGTCTCATTCAGAACTATCTGCCATTAAATGAAGCCAGTATGATACCATAATTGGGGTGCTGCTGTGTTTTGGCCAGCATGAGTGCATTCCAGTCAGAACTGAACGTTGACATTAGACTAAAATATTATGATTAAAAAAATATGTCTGTGTCAAAGCTGCAAATCACTCACACACACTTTTCTCTGTAGGATTCTTCATAGACAAGATGGGTGATTATGGAACGGGGTTCATCATGGCAGGGGTGGCTCTCATCATCTCTGCTCTGTTCCTGCTCATCCTCCATCAGATGAACAGCAGGGGTCAGGGGTCGACCACCAAGAACCCCGATGTGCACATGGACAAAACGGGACCATCTGTCAGAGCTGACGCCAAAGTGCTGGACATGACATGATTGAAGGGGAAATTGTTTCTGTTGCTGATAGATGATGAGTTTGAAAAGAGATATGGATCTCAGGAACACAGTCAGAAGCAGAATCAAGTGAAGCCATACCTCACGTGTTTTCACAAACCTAAGGGACTGAACGAAAATTAGAGGAAGGGGTGGTCAGAGCGGGCAAGGGTTGTTTTTGTTTTTTTTCCCTAGATTTCATTTTAAACATTTTGATCAGGTTTGCAGGTGTGTTTTCAGTCCATGGGTGGTGAGATAACATTTTATTATCAGCCAAGTTACTTAAAGCATCATATGTTTCACTTTGAATGTGAAACCAACTTCCCTTATTTGTAAAACAAGAGTTACTGGTGGTGAGGTAGTAGTTGGTAGCTCTTGTTTCAAACATAGAATGTCTGCAGTAGTTGCTAAATTTGACGACTGTTCATTTCATGGTGTGGGCTGGTTGCACACACTGAAAACGATGTAGATGTTTAAGTCATGGACGTGTGGCACGGTGGTGCAGTGGTCAGCATTGTCACCTCACAGCAAGAGGGTTTGAACCCAGGGTGAAGGAGCCCATCTGAGTGGAGTTTGCATGTTCTCCCTGTGTCAGCGTGGGTTTTACATGGGTACCTCAGCGTCCTCCCACAGTCCAAAGACATGCGGGTTAATTGGTGACTCTAAATTGGCCGTAGGTGTGAATGTGAGTGTGAATGGTTGTCTGTCTCTATGTGTCAGCCCTGCGATAGTCTGCCGACCTCTCTAGGGTGTACCCTGCCTTTCACCCAATGTCAGCTTGGATAGGCTCCAGCCACCGTGACCCCCAACAGGATAAGGATTTACCAAAAATTAATGAATGTATAACTAGACACTGGATGCCAAGATGCCGGATATTTATTCCAATGGTCTCCAGCTTGGCGCATACACCAAAAATGTTTCTAGCTTCCAGGTTTTTACCTGCAGTATGCAGCCCACTGAATATGCTCAGTAGTATTGCTCCTGCTGGCTCTGCCTGCAAGTTCCTGCTCAATAGTCAGTGCGTGTACGTGCAGCTTGAGAAAATCGAATTATTGGCTTAGTCCAACTGACACCGAACTTTTAAATGCATGTAAACAGCTTAGTCCGACTGAAATTGGACTATCCATAGCTCAACTAACACACCTAGATAATTCCATTGAAAATCGAACTATTGCTGCATGTATCCACTTAGTCCGACTTGAGTCGAACTCGACGTTCAGTAACTCCCGGAAAAACAAACAAACAAACAAACAAACACCATGGCGACCGAGAAGCAGAAGACGCACTTCTGGACAGACGAGGAAACTACATTCATGCTCCGACAGCTAAAGGAGCTAAACATGTTAAGTTTATGGATGGTCGGAAAACACAAAATGCGTTCTTATTTTAAAAAGTTGTTGCTGTTTTTTGCTGCAATACTGCAAGTGGCCAGTGGAAAAAATGGAAGCAAGGCTGGGTGGAGTTTTACTGTTGTATTATTTTCAGATATTGTTGGGAGGTTTTGCATTTTTTTTACCCAAGTCAAGGGGATATTGTAATAATGCAACGGAGGGTCTTACTTTTTTAAGACATGAAAGGTTCAGCTCTTCTCCCTAATCTAGTAATTTTCGTACAGTCCCTAAAGTGTTCACATTATTCCCACTCTCTGGAATGCACTGAACTGTAGGAACATAACAAGCTGTAGAAACTGTGTATTTATGTCACTTAGGTGCAAAATGTGTCAGGAATATGACAATCAATATGTGACAATGAAATATAATTAATTTCTATCAAAACCACAAGTTCTTAAGTTGATTTAAAAATTAAAGCATGTTTTTTATACGTATGTTGTCTTAGAGTCACACTTTGTTATTGATTTTTTTTCCCTTCATTGCAATAGTGTGATGCATGAATGAATGCTGGCTTGCAGGGTGAAAATGTGACTCTAGCTCCCTCCAGCGAGGAGTTACTGTTATTGCATTTTTGCAGCGTTCTCGGCTGAATGACTGAGCTGGAAAGTGCAAATAATTCCAGATATAATACCACAGGGAAGACTGGGGAATTTACAGATGTAGACCAAACAACCAAATTACAGTAAATTGCACCAGTTTTCAATTCAGTGCTCAAAATGAATGCAGTATTCTTTACTGCTGCAGGTTTGCGTTTCAGCTTTGCTTACAAACAGATCTGAAAATCACTCTTAAGTGTTAACTTACATCACTGGAACAACAAAATAAGTTCTAAATGGTTCATTGAATTTCTTTCCAAGTTCAGTCCCAATGCAGCCTAAAACCCAGTGAGGAAAAGCTTTTCTTCATTTTCTTCCTCTGCTGCAGAATGTGTGGTATGTGCAACCATCAAGAAAAGTAGCTTTCATAACCCCGATCCAGCAAGAGGCACCAGATAAACATCTTCAGCCTGGTATAATGCAAAATATAACAAGTATAAATAAACATGTCACTCGGCATAAATCTGCAATAACAAACTCCAAACCACGGTTTACAAACAGTGCCCCCCCCCACCCCACACACACACACACACACACACACACACAGACACAAGCTACACACATACACACACACACACACACACACACACACACCAGAGGAAAGAGACTGCAGAAAAGAAAACTTGCCACAACAAGAGAGCTGGTCACAAAATACCGCAAGCCTTTGATCTGCCAGACAGGAACAAAGACATAATCCATGTTTCATAGAAACTCTACATGAAAACCAAACACACACACTCAAACACAAAGACACACACAGTGTATGCCATGGTTGACTGCCAAGAGAGAGTAGAGGCCACCTATTATCAGGGAAAGGAAGACTGCTGGTTCAAAATTATCAGAGGATTTCCATTTCAGTGAACAAAAATCTACTGTCATTTCATACATGAAGAAGTTTGATCTTTAATTGCAAAAAACCTGATTTGCACGCCGTCTGTACCGCGCATAAAAGGGACAACATCTGGCTGAGCAATAATCAGAACAGGCAGTGTGGAGTTAAACACCATTTTCTTTGATATAATTCAGATACATTTATTGATGGAGCTGATAAATGCTTAACTGTGTCAAGGAACATTAAAGGGGCGCTCCATCAATTTTGTATATGAAGTTCAGTGTACACATCATGAGGAGTACTGGTCAGCCTATCAAAATAGCTGGAAAATGTCTTCTGTGATTCTGGAGGGAACTTTTCAAAGTTTGAAAAACAACCCTGATTATGTGGGTATGATATGATAATTGAGCGTACATAAATACATGTATGCTAATTTGAGTACAAGGGCATTGTGCAATGAGGACTGGCACTTCATAAACCTGTGCAATTGGGCGGTGTGCAATTCAATTAGCACTTTAACATGGGCAATGTGCAATAATATTAACCCTTAAAAACCATTGCACCTTTAATTTAGCACTCAAGCACTTTTGCACTTTCAACTGGTCCCCCAATTCTTGGTCTATCATGTCTGTATTAGTGTTCGCTATATGTTTTTTATTTGTTCTTATTGTTTTTGTTTGTTTGTTTGTTTGTTTTGATTAGTTAAACATCAACCTGCCAAGGGACTGAGGATGGAAATTAGCCATAGCTACAATCCTACATATTTACATTTAATGTTCATCAATATGTACTGTCCCTGTTTTAAATAAACAAATAAATAAATAAATGTCATCTTGATGTCATCAGGGTAACCTTGTCTTATGCTTTAGACCTAAAGGTATACTATGCCGAAATTGTTGCCTATTGTTTGTAAGCCAGGGCTGGACAATATATCAATATTGCATCAATATTGTGATCTGAGACTAGATATCATCTTAGATGTTGAATATCGTAATGTTGTCTTTTCTTGGTTTTAAAGGCTGCATTACAGTAAAGTAATGTAATTTTCTGAACTTACCAGACTGCTCTAGCTATTCTATCATTTGCCATTACCCATATAGTCATTATATCTACATTACTGATGATCTTTAATCAAAAATCTCATTGTGTAAATATTTTGGAAAGGCACCAATAGTCATCCCTACGATATCATTGCAATGCGCCAAGGTATTTCTCTATATCCCCCAGCCCTGTTGTAAAGACAACATTCAAACTTGGCCCCTCTTCCCTACACTGTTTGTACTTACACTGCCAGCTATTGTAGAAATGTTACACTTGTAAGGGAAAAGATGAAACTTTAGTAGGCTAACTAAGCTAGCACATACCTGTCCAACAGAAAACAGGCCAAGTCCGCGTCGCTCTTCATCCCAGTTCTCTCCTTCAGTAGTCAGTGGCAATAGTGAAAGTGAAAGCCAACACCAGATTCACTCTTATTTTGGAATGCACTTTGTCCAATTGGCGTTTGACCTTGCCATATTTGCGTTTTTGTCTACGCTGTGTCTGCAAGTTTCATAGCTTCCTCTTGGTTACATACAGCTTACGCTCTGGCACCTGGTTGCTACCTTTTTGTGAAGTCCTGACCTCATGGCCGCTGTCATTGGCTTGGGGATACACACCACAGCCCAAAGGTTGCAGCCCATAAACTTCTTGACTATAGAGACATAAGAAGAAAATACCAGCAGAGCCCAGGCTCCCTGCAGATAAATATACCACCAGACACTTCAAGTGGGTCATTAGTGATGATTGAGAGGGTCTAAATATAGTTTTTTAGGAAATTACTGCATAGTATACCTTCAACAGAAAGCCTAGGTTACAAAGTGGAAGTGCAGAGTTTGATAGTTAGAGGCTTTGAGGGTCTAATGAAAGATGCTATTGAGTAGGATTCAGAATTGTTGGAGATGGACCCTGACGAAGGTCCCATACTTGGCCTCTGTTCTTTGATTTTGACATGTTAACGCCCATGTGCTTAGACTTCTAGCAACTGGGTAGGACAGTTTCACTCACTCCGTATCCCACTACCTGTGTGTATGTATGGAGAGATAGAGAGATAAAAAGCAGCAGCAGCAGCAGCAGGTATATGGGACTGTCTTCATTTGACCTTCTCAACATCAACTCCAAAAAAGACGAAAACACATGAAGAGCTTTGAAGTCTGACTGGACTTACTGAAACACCTCTCAGTCACTTTGACCCCACAGTGGAACCTCTGGGCTCAGGGTCGCTATAGAAACAGCTGAAATAGTTTTTCTTTTTTTTTCTGTTTTTTGCCGACCTTGCTCCCGGGGGTCATGTTGAGGAATGTTGCGCCGCTACCTGAGTTCAAAGCAGCGCAGTAGCTGGATCAAAAAGAGTAGAGGTGAAAAGAAAAGCAGGAGGGAGACAAAAAGGGAGAAACAAAAATGGGGGAGAAGAAGAGAGGGGAGAGAAGGGGAAGACAACTGCACGTGAAAGAGGAGAAACCAGCTGGGAGAAAGTTGGAAGAGGAAAACATGAAGAGGGAAACTTAAAACTGAAGGAGGAGCACAGGAGGGGACAGAAACAGTAGGCAAGCTCCAGCAGAAAAATGCAAGGGAAAATAAAAAGAGCTGAATGTGAAGAAAGAGAAGGATAATAACAGAAAAGAAGTAATTACTGTATACTGAGCTGCTGAGTACAGTCAGACTTTGTGCTGGTTGGGGCCATTACAGGATAAAGGAT